GCCCCACGCCGCAATAATGCCAGCGAGGTTGTTTCTGGCCGAGGGGGGGGGTGCAGGGGGGCCAGGAGAGTCCGCGCAGTGTTTAGGAGCACCCATGCCTGGGCCCGGGTGCGGCAGCGAAGCTGGCGAAGTTACTAGCAAAAGTGGGGCCGCGGGCGACGCCCAGCTGCCGGGGCCAGTTGAGAGGTCCCGGGAATGGAGGAACCGGTGCCAGAAGACGGAGCGAAGAAAAGGGGAGGCAAGGTAGTGGATCAAGAGAGAGTGCCACGTGAGTGCGGCGTTACTTGCGACCGCGGCGAAATTGGGATGTCCGGTCTCGGTGTGCATTGAGCAGGACAAGTTGGACGAGCAATGGAGGTCCTGACAATAGAGGGCCTAACAATATTTTGAACGGAGTGCCCCTGAGAGATCATGAAATTCGGATGGGGGTCGCTGTTGGTGCAATGGGATCAGGGGTCTACAACAGCGTTGGACGTCCGAACGCAGGAACGCACTTCCCTGGTAAACCCGCGGAAGTCCCCCAAAACGGAAAACATTGCCGTGCAGCAAGTGGGCCCGTCATCAAAACCATGGGCAACGGGTTGTTGTAGGAGAAACAAAGAATGATCCATGGTGAGCTTGCCCTAGGTGCTGGTGCTATGGAGGTAGCCTGGTCTGCGCGTGAGATGATTCAACCTGGGAACCGCATTTCGATGAAACGGGGCAACAAAGAACAATCCCGCAGTTATCTCGAGCGGGGCGAAACGTGACGGCATGCGAGACATATTGTAATGTCCAGTTCAATCTTGGCCCCAGAAGGTGTGCGAGTCAGGAGAGGACGAGGAAAGTGGAAAAACTAGTGATGGGGGATCTGAGGGGCTTCCCAGGCAGGGAGCTGTCATGGCGGACTCTTCTATTGAATCCGACGGGGTCCTTGGGTCCTTGTCAACCCAGCCGCCGTGATTTTGGGCGGGGGCGAAGAGGGCGAGGGGGGGGGGCAGTGAGTTTAGTCATATGGTGTTTGTTCGTTGGGCAGCAGGCCGACGCCTTCGACAGATTGCGCAGGGTTGGGGCCGAGCGAAGCAGAGGTGCGGCATGATAGCAGGTTGGCTCGGAGGATGGTGCAGGAAACCCAGTCATCGCCGTGCAGCCAGGGCGCCGAGTTCACTTGGAGCATTGTTCTATTTAACAATGGCGCGCGTCCATATTCAATCCAAGTGTTTTGTGGTCTGATTTTGTTCGCGTGCCACACGATGGGGCTATCTTCAGCGTCGATGATGGGCCATCCATTGCGGCGCCCAAAGAAGCTGTTGCATCCATGACGCGGGAGTAGGAGTTGGTACGGTCGGAGACTCCCGTGCACGCGGTGAAGTCGAAAGGGCAATCGGGGCGGTCGAATAGCAAACCGATGATGTTAAAGAGCGTTTTGGGTGACGCATATTACATCAAGTGTGAAGATGCGCGTGCGCTGATGCCTTGGTTAGGGGCTTGTGCACCTTCTCTCGCGGAGAACTCTACGGTCGACGCTGATGGCGCGCCGGCCTACGAAAGGTGCCGATGGCTGAAATTCAGCACACCCTTGCCCGAGTTCGGAGGATGCGTCATGCACCTGCGAATTCTGGCTAAAAGAAAAGGCAGCGACTTCGAAACAATGGGGGAAGCAGTAAGGGACGCGCGCCATCTTCCAGGGGGCGCGAGGGAAGTGGCTTCCTCTTAACAAACCTGAGCGATACATGCAACCGTCCGCGAGTAGAAGGGGGGGCGGTCCTTTACTACATAGCAGAAAACCCACCAGAGAAACCTAGGCATTTGTCCACGCCTCAACGTGGGGGCACGGTTGTGGATGACAGTGATGGCGGTGATGATGATGATGATGATGATGATGATGATGATGATGATGATGATGATGATGATGATGATGATGCTGATGCTGATGCTGATGATGATGATGATGATTATGATGATGATGATGGTGATGATGATGGTGATGATGATGGCGATGCTGATGACGATGATGATGGTGATGATGATGATGATGATGATGGTGATGATGATGATGATTATGATGATGGTGGCGACGGCGGTGACGATAATGCCGATGACGATTGTAGTGGTGATGACGATGGTGCTGGTGATGGTGACGGTGATTATGCAGATGGTGATCAATAGTAATCATGGCGACGGTCAGGGCGATGGTCATGGTGATGATGGTGGCGATCATGGTGGTGACGATGGCGATGTTGATCATGACGAGGAAGACGAGGAATATGATGTTTGCGGGGCAGGGGTGGACGATGAGGAGTGGTAGGGATGATAGGGGGTGCGGAGGAAGGGCCGGAATTGGATGAGGGAGGAAGAAGGCAGGATAGGATGGTGGCAGAGGAACGTGTGTGTGTATGTGTTTTTGCGCGTGCGACGCTGATAGTGGAAGTTATGGTTGCGACTGGGATGTTTATGATGGTAATGGTACCGCGGCTGGTAATTGTGATGATCACGAAGGCGGTGTTGATGACGACAAGTACTAAGTGGACGGCGACGCCGATCATGTGACGGCGGCGACGACGAGGACGAGAAAGGCGACGCCGATGACGATGATCTTGCTGATGATGGCGATGGTGATTTGGGGAAGGTTATAGCGATGGGGCACCAGGCAAGTTCAGAGGCGGGCGGATTGACACGGGCGGGCAGGGGAGGGGAGGCGGGATGGTGAGTAGGACGTTTGAAAAGGGGGTCACTGATGAGGAGGGGGAGGATGAGGAGGGTCATCGGGGGGTGGGGGTGGGGGGAATGATGATGAGAAGGAGGAAGAGGTGGACTGTGAGGCGGTGGATGAGGTGTCACTGCAAACGCCGATGTTTCTTTTCGGAGCGCGCGATGTCGAGGTTGCCAATTTAACGAAGCTTCGTTCTCTCCTCACACAGTATTCCTTGCACAGCTCCTCTTCTGCTCCCTGAGCCTTCGCCCTCATCCCCATATTATCCCTCACGGCTAATGTGGTAATTTCTGTGCTGGGTTCGTCAGATCGTCAGATAACCAGCCGCGTCAACCTTGGTGATATTAATGCCGATGTGCGTACGAGCTTAACCGTATTAAACAACAACGGGCCAAGGTTAGCTCAGTTACGCTAGGCGGATCTAAGGTTAGATGATACAATGGTCCCTGTGCTATAACGAACCATGCCAAGTCTGACTGACAGAGTGCCTGCACCCTTTGGGTGCTGTGACGATGTTTGTGTGATCGTCGCACGCCTCATGATTGCTCGCTCGCATGCCTGCTTGTCCGCCTTCTGGAGTATTGCGTTGGTGTACTTCCGGCGAGTTGGTGCCGTTGGGTGCGATCGTGTCGACGCGGCGGCGACCCCGTGGCGTTCAAGGCTGGACGCCAGTGGCCCAGGATCGGCCAACATGGAAGGGTCGGGCAGCCAAGACACCGCCGATCGTTGAGGGTTGAACAATCTGCGCGGTGACGGGGGCCAACGCCCAGGTCGTCACGGCACGAACTTGCCCTGCCTGTCTTTTCTCTTGCTGCCTTTTGGTTGGGCGCGCTGGTATATACGATTGCAGTCCAGTCGGCCAAGCCGATCGGGAGGGCGACGAGGAGGAGGAGGAGGAAGAGGAGGAAGAGCAGGAGGTCGAGGAGGAGGACATGGAAGAGGAGGACATGTTCGTTCTCCTCGTGTTCTCGGCCACGGTCAGAGTGGATGGGTGTGCGCGTGTGCGCAGGCGTCAGGGGTTGTCTTCGGCGTGCAGGACGAGATTGAGGCAGAGGAGGAGGAAAGGGAGGGGACGAGGTGGAGGAGGAGGAGGAGGAAGCGGACGAGGACGGGGAGGTTGTGGAGGCTGATGATCATCCTGACTGAGATTGTCCATTCTGCTTCGGCCTTTGTCTTCCCTCCTCATCCTCCGGCGCCTGCTCCCGCCCCCGCTCCCAACCTCTGCCTCCGCGGCCTTGTCGTCGTCCGGACCCCTGGTGCTCGACCCTTCCCCGCTCTCCAGGGGCAGCGTTAGGGCGGGATGCGTTCAGGGGGGTGCGCATCGACCCCCAGTGTTAAGTCGGGCCTGTCCCCCGACAGGGGGATTCTCGACGAAAAGTAAAAAATACCAAAAATAATCAAAAAGTGGTCCAAAAATAGTCTGGGGACTATTTTTTGACTATTTTTTGACCTTTTTGGGATATTTTTTATTTTTCGTCGAAAATCCCCCTGTAGGGGGACACGCCCGACATAACCCCAGTGGCCCACTGATCGCCGACAAGGGGCCTCCGTGCGCTTTCGCTGTCGAAAGCCCACGGCAGATCAGTCGGCGATGCATCGTCGATTCCAGGTCGATGTGTCTGCCCACTGAGCCAGTCCCTTCGTCTCTTCTCGTGCTCAAGGCAACAATGGCTTACATATTTTTAGCTCGCTCGTTCGTCTGCTGTCAACGCGCCCGGATTGCCCAGAAGGCTCGCAAGATAGCCCAAGGAGCCCCAAAGAGGAGAGGGTCCTAGTACAGCCCAAGAGGCCACCAATACGGCCCAAGAGGCTCCCAGGAGGGGCCCAAGAGGGGGAACACGAACTGGCATTTCGCGCCCTTCTCCCCAATGTGACCTATCTTTCCGTGCTTCGATTTCGGGAGCGTGATTCTGAGTCGGGGCTCTATCCATCACCGCCTCCCGCAATATGGACTGTTTGGGACGCCGGCAGGTGATGGATGCGGATGTCTTTGGCCCCGTCCTGCCTGCCGAGCCCCCTAGAGATCGATGATCCAGGTTGAGCCAATAGCCGCACAGTGACCGTATACATACGCCATCGCAGGACAACTCGTCTACGTGACTGGACGCTTCATTTGCACGGTGTTTGAAGCAGCTTACTGGCTTCACGATGTAGTCATCGAAGCTGTCCTCGTGCTGAGATTTCAGGACAGAAGCACACACGGTGATGAATACATCTTCTCCTCGCCTTGGTGGCCCAAGTGGCATCGAAGATGGGCCACGCGCGAACTCCTCCCTGCTCTTTCTCCTGGCCCGTGCTCCGCGCACAGGCGGCGGTGA